TTACCTATGAAATTTATCAAGAGGAAAGAGTTTTCAAAAGAGTATTAGAGAATTCTAGTAAAGAATCAAGAAAAAAAGAAAACTGGCAGAATAACAAATAATTACTTTTTTTTCAACTTTGTTAATTTTTAATTCTCAATCAAGGTCATTTTCTTAGTTTCTTTAACTTCAATTTGAGCAGTTAGTTTAGCCTGCTGTTTCTTTAACTGTTCAACTTCACTTTCAAGTCTTTGGATTTTATCTAATAATTCTTGCTTCTGCTTATTATGCCAGTCTTTTGAAACTCTAAGGCTTTCAAATGAGAACTGATTTCTTCCTTAGCACTAAAGTTGGTGTCTGCAACTGGTTGAAAATTCTCCAATTCGGGAGGTTGCAATCTGGGTTGTTGATTTTGATTTTCCCTGAATTCAGAGTTTTGAGTCCTGGGTTGCTGTCTTGTTGGTGGTATGCCTACTCACCAAAAAAGCAAAAGTTCCCTACCCCCAATTTAAATAACAAATTCAGTTGGTCAAACAAAAATTAAAGTGAAATAGAGAATTTATAAAAATGATTAATTTATATATAACATCAAACAAAATCTGAACCATTTTATTTTACAGCCTTCCTCCTAACATCAGAGCCTAAATGCAATTTCAGGGTCACCAACCCTGCTCTGTATTGCAACCTCCTGTTGAAATGAGTTGCAAATTCTTGTTGCTTTGATTGATCTGGATGTTTACATGGCACTACAATTCATCAACAGAGTTGCGACTTGGTCACAGGGCCAACTTACCCTAGAGGGTGGATCGTTGCAGGTAACTTGTCAGCTAACATGTCAGCTTTCTCTGGTCTAGTACAGTGAAGATTATCAAGTGTCATTGACAATTTATGCAGCTTTGATGCATTCCAGGGCCATGTGACTCCTCCCTGGAATTTAGTTGCATCATTGTATCATCAGAGTAATCTTGGTCAGATTAGCCTTGTTATTTAGTTGAGGAATGTGAGAATGGCTGCGAAGCATTTAAGATAACATGTGTACTTCAACATCTGCTAATTCTGATAATCAAACATCATATATCGAATTTTTCTTCTGAAAGTCAGTCATGCTATCTTGACATCTTGTGATTATATAATATTAATATTGATTATGAAAAGCAAAGTACTAATTGTTTACTAGTTTGATAATAGTTACCAGCATGTTTTGCTCTGCATTTTGATTTCAATAAAATATATTTATAAAATAGAATAAAATATATATCAATACAAATGAAAAAAAGTATTTCTGGTCAGTTATTAACTCTTCTTCAGAACCAAACCATATCGAACAATAACACTCTCATTTTGTCATCTTTGAAAAATAAATTGTTTTTCAAAAAAGGGAAAAGAACCAATTCACATAAAAAATAATAATAATAAAGTGGGTTTAAAAAATGAATCAATAGAATTTTGATCAATTTATAGACTGCCACATGGAAATCTAATGCAGATAACAAACATGTTCAACATTTTATTGGGATGAGTGAGAATAAAAGTTTTCTTATGAGTGGTGAAATTCACATCAGTTTGGTGTTTGACCACAAATCCAATATCTCAAAACATTAAATATCAGATGAGTTTCAGTAATCAGGTCACTTTGAAGATATCCTTTATTTGTGGCATAATAGAATATCCAATTTACTCCATCAGCCAAGGCTCCAACTAATAGTTAAAAATCAAATGAATTCAATGGAGTACATAAAATATATATGAACAAAAAAAAAGAAAGAAATTTATCCTCACCTTTTATCATCCTTGTTTTTTAATAGAGTTGCAAGTTCAGCAAGTAACTGCATCTCACCAGAACTCATTTTCTCACCTAGGGTTTGTATTCATGAATATCATAAGGGGATCACACAGGGTCACACACTATTAAAATCAAGTGATCAACTCATGTTTTTAAGGGATTTTTTGCTGTTTTAATAGTGTGTAATCCCCTTAATGATATTCATGATATTCATGAATAAAACCCTATTCTCACCTCATTTCACTTCAATGACAGTGAACAATCTGTTTGTTTTGGGTCTGCTTGTACCTATTTGCAATTTACTTATATTTGATTCTCTTTCTGCTATTAACCAATTTACATGACCCCTAAATTTCAGTGATGTTTCTTCCACTACAACTATGGGGTCAAATGAAAATTCTGTATATTTTTATCATTTTTCTGATTTATGGTCTCAAGCAGATACATGTCTATGGTTGTTCTGTGAGAATTTTCACCATTTAAATTTTGGTGGTTCTTAATAATTTCAAGAATATGATTTAGTTCAATAGGTACATCAATGTAATCATCATCATCAATCTTGAAATTTGATGTTGCCAATTGGTGAGAGAGGAACCAATGATGGTTTTTAATGCTTGTAAAACAATGATAATTGTTATTGTCCACTGAAAGGTCTGGTACAATGTTATAAGTTCATCTAGCAGTGGTTTTGTCTTTTTGTTTGAATTTTCTATGAGTTTTTTCATTATTGATGACACTTTCCAAGTACTTGTAGGCGGCAGAACATTTTTCTATAGGTTTGAATTGAATTAATATCAAAACAATCAGTCTTAATCATATTAATCATTTAAAGATAAATATAATTTACTTACTCATAACTGTGATAATGGTAATCTAGATGGTGTTTTTTCCTTAATACTAAGAAATAAATATAAAGTCAAAATTTTTTTTAATTTAAACCAGGATAATGATAACCATCATTTTTTTTTCAAAAAAGAAACTAACTCTCAAAAACAATCACATTCTAAACTATGATCATTCTTTTTAAAATAACTAGAGCAGTGGCAACAGCATGCAACCACCATAACCTTTTCTTCATTCCATATTTGCTCTTTGGGTTTTTTCTTTCAGGTGCTCTAGACATTTTTAGTGTTAAGTAATTTTGTTAGTGTTTAAGTAACTTCTTTGTTAGTGTTTTTAAGAATAACTAGAATGATGAGTGGTGGTGATAATTGCCACCACCATTTTTTTGATAAACACTACTTACTCTGCGATTTCAATTGGTATGTTTTCTTTGGTTCTTTTCTCATTATTTTTTTTATTTGGAGGCATGTTTTATTTTTTTGAAAAAAAAAATTTTACATTACTGCTAATTTATTTATATATTAACAAATTTCCCCTTGTTGATCATCTCAAATTAATGACACACTATTTTTAGTGTCACAGCACTATAAACTCACATGACCCAAACAGCTAACAATAACATTCCTTCTGCAATAGCTAAACTCACTAGGATAACTATAAAAGAAAATGAACAATTAAATGTAAAATATACTGTATGTTTGCTATT